AGCAGTGAGTTTCGTTTCTTGCAAGAAGATTTGGTGAGTGCTTTGTACTCTTCATTCTCGAAGTTGACTCATAAATTGTATTCAGATTTGTGATACTGTTCGGACGTTCAGACTGAAGCAGTTGATTGTCTCAAAGGACCATTTCTTGGGCCTTTGGTTTAAGGTCTTATCCACAAGGCAGCAGAGCAGCGTGAGACACTGCTTATCGGTGACCAAGGTAGATTCATACTCCATCTATCTATGAAGGAAATTTTCACCACTGGCTTCAGATCCTGGTTTTCCAACTCATCTGAGTGAACTCTGTGTGTCCACTATTCCGGTGGTAGTGTCGGATATTTGATTTCGCTTTCTCACTTTTACATAAATAACTTGTGCCACGCGAACGTAATTAGCAGAACTTCCGTGTCAGAGGCTATCAGCGTATGACCGTATGATAGCATTTCAAGAGGATAACTGGGATTTTTCCACCCTCAGGCACCACATTACTTGAGGGGAGGGTCTATCAATAAGTATTGACAATTGTTACACTCATTTCAAGTCCTCACATGTTTAATAAAACCAGCGCAATCAACTGGTACCTACTCAAGAAGTGCGCTTTTGGTTCTGCACCCGACCTATAGCTGCTACCTTGATGTGGTGGTCGGGCTTGCGTATCACGATAACCCAACAAACTATACAGGTGGGACGCTTGCCCCTTGGGGTCCTACCATGCCAAAAAAAAGTCTGGTAGATAGTAGTAAGAAGAAAAGCAGGATCAATTGTAGTGTAAGTTACTACATTATGATGGGGGTTGGATGGCGAAGTTATACTGCTGCAAGCTGGCTGGAGTGTGTGGTAGCAGTAAGGGGACCAGCAGTGCCACACTGATGGTGCCTTCCCAACGGGAAACAAGACTTAGAAAGATCGGCCCCAAAATAACACGCCACCTGCCCCACGGTCTTCCAATGCTGGCGTATGAGTTCTGTCTATCCGATATTAGAACAACCAAACCTGAAAACAACATTCCACAGAAGGCTGTTTGTGACAGGTTTCAAGCACATGCCCCATGAACCATACGGTCACACAACGCTTTTTCTCCTTCAGATAGTCTTCCACTGTCTGGGCAGCCGGGAAGTGCCACTTCGATTAGTACACGAAACCCAGTCAAACATAACCTGTCGCCCCAACTCTGTCTCCTCTTTTGCCTTTACCTCCTGATACTGATGTTAGGCTTGTTGCGCCTTCCCCAGCCCCTCATTATATGACCACTGCCAAAGATCCAAGTCATCCAAACCTCTCCGAAGACCCCGCTATCGACAAAATCTAGGAGCTTTCAACGTCCCAACTCTATGCCAAATCAAACAGCAAACATCGCTGGTCAGAACACTGGAGTCTGTAGCCGTGGATGTACCCTGTGTCTCTGAGACACGCATACAGGACCCGAGTGTTTTTAAACTGATCTCACCTGGCCATAGTAGTGAATCTTCAAAATTCCACCTGAAGAGTATCCAGAGACCCAATGGTGTAGCTACTACCCTGTAGCCATATTTCCTGACGGCATTCGACTCCTTTGATGGTAAGGTGTGGTAGGAGTGTCTAACTGTAAAGGAAGTGCCGAGCAAGTATATAACGCTAATCAAAGCTGTCTACTCGAACTCACGCAACCGTATCAAGGCTAATGGAAATTTATCATGTGAATTGACGACAGCTAGTGATGTCCACCAGGGATATCCACTGTCACCGTTCCTAATTAACTTTGTCATAGATGTACTAATGGACATATCCTTGGGTATGTATAACCTCATAGGGATTGATCTACTCCTTGGGGAGCAGTTATCTGGTTAACTTCGAGTATGCAGACGACGTTGTCCTGCTAAGTGAAGATGCTGACAAAATGCAGAGTCTTGTGAACGCGTTGAGCAAAATCTGAGTATGTTTGGCATGCGTTTCGCCGACTCCTGTCAAATGTTAGGTGCTGCTCAAGGACTGGTCTGCTGCAACTACTCTTAGTTTAATTGTGGAGAGTAAAGTGGTGAGATGTGTCTACCAATCCACTTATTTTGGGAGTTGCATCAGCCCGAATCGTCTAGTTGCTGACGAAATCTAAGCTGGAATACAAAATGCCCGCTTAGCATTTGTCAACTTGCGGTGGCGTCGATTGGTGAGATATTCAACTATCCATCAAAGGACGAGTATGAAGCCCTGCAGTTCGTCCTGTCGTCCTGACATCACCGTTAAGAGTAGAAGACATGAAACGGTTTCAGGGTTTTGATCACTGATATCTTCGTAGCCTTGCTCGCGTTTGGCGGGATCACCGTTTGAGCGATGTTGAGGTCAGGCTAAGGGTACTAGACGAGACAAGCAAGTCGGTTGGTAAGGCTGTGGATCTTCATCAACTGACATGGCTTGGACATCTACTTTGCTTGCTGATCCTCTGCCTACCTCGAGATGCCATTCTAGGGGCAGTGCGATTAGGTTAGAGGGAGGGTTTAGGGTAGCCAGAACAGGTTGCAGCACCAGTCGATGAACTCTTACTGTTGATCTGAGTCGTGTGGAGCGATGTATACTGCGTGGCTCGAGACGAAAATAATCGGTGGTTGAGAACTCTTGGTGACGGTTGAAAATTGGTCACAGTGGCTTAGATGTATACGCTCCTTAACATCTTCTAAAGCTTGAGTATTCGCCCTAACCGTTATCTTCAAATAGTTTATTTGCTTACATTACTTTGTCCACTTGGATATCACTCCTTTTCAATCAATCTGTTCTTTGTGTGTTACTGTGAAGTGTGGCAACTTGAGCTGATGCACCTGTGTCCGGGGTTCCACGTTGATTTTATCAGTCAGTTTTGACTCTACAACATAATGATATACTTACACTAGTTAGTCCTTGAAAGCTAGCCATTGAATCTCTAAACACTCGTAGAGGGAGCTTTGTAGAGTCACCATATTAGCCAGGTAAGTGCCGGTAAGTAACCACAGTTGGTCTGTGTATGTGTTTCTGAGAGATGCAGTATACATCTATAGCTCGAGTTTTATCAAGTGATTACTGTTGTCAGAATTGGTATAGGCTTTGAACGTTGGGAACTCCCATGTGAAGTTTGCACCCTGGATTTAGGAGACTAGGCATGGTGTTTTACTGACTTTGATCTTCAGTAATGGCTACAGAGTGGGGGTTGTGTTAGTTATAAGAGGCTCATGTTGTTTCCAGGGAGTGAAGATAAAGGAAGAGAAAAAGGTAATGAAGATAGTTTCTGGTTATATGCGTTTTGTATCCTACTGAGAGTGTATAGGCGGAAAAAGCTAAGGGGTGGTCTTACTAGCGAAGACGTGAGACCAATCTATGAAGTTTCTGTCTGTGCTGCGTAGAAGGAGGTGATGTTAGGAAACATTGATTGATACCTGCTCACAAATTATCACAACTGTGCTATTGTATTCATTTTAATCGCTGGTAGTTTTAGCATTTCTACCAACTTTTCATTTTTGTCTTTTTCACCCGTTTAATCTACGTTTATAAAATTGTTTTCCTGTTATTTATCTGAGTACTATTGTGAAGTGTGAAACTTAAGTTGATGCACTTCTGCGCAAGGTTTGATGTCCGATTCACTGTCTCTCTTTCATGCATTTAGTAGAGAATCCGGCTTAGCTATTTCAAACAGTCCGCGACTACTGACATTCTAACTGCCGATTAACAGTGTTTTAATCCTTTAAAAAAGTTATGTATTGCACAAGGAACACTCTAGAATAAGCGACAGTACAAGTGCTGTCTTACCAACCGCTGCTTAAAGCTTTTGAATAAATTTATTTGTAATTGACTATTGAAATATAACCAAAATACTTGTGAATTATGAATCAGGACTGCACGACGACTCAATTGCTAGAATAACATAAATAATTTATTTCGAGCATTTTTTTAGCTGTGTACGAACTAAGGCATACTTTTTGTAAGCGATAGAAGCTACATGTATTTGCCAAGTCAATGCGGAAGTATCAGCTGGAAACGAAAGTAAGTTTGGTCAATACTAGTGAATAATTCAGTTTTAAAAAAATGAATGAATAAATATTTTGAAAAAGAAACAGTAATATAGAAGATATGCTGTTATTCAGTTTAGTTATTCGGATATGTTAGTGGATAGTGAAACGATAGCAACTTTGGCTTCAAACCAACCAAGTTCTAACTATAAAGAAAACCACTTACCGGATCGACGAGATTAACTCCAACCAGAAAAGTACAAATACCGAGTATAGTACGTCCGTTTATCTACAGCTACAATGTAGAAGTATCAGACCCCATAAATAGCTTGTTGGGAGCTTGTGCGAAACCAGTAAGAAAATGTCGCGAAAAATAACGGGAAGTCGTTCGTTGCATGAAGGGTCCACAAAAACAGGGAAAACCGACTGACGACTCACAAAATGTAAAAAATCACAGTCATTCTTGCAAATCAGACCACTGGTGTATTAACCATGCATTGAAACACGTTTGAGTAGTAACGTAACTCTTTTTGGGGAATCAAACCTTGACTGACCTAACTTCATTTTGAATTAGACACGAAACTGACCAGCTCAAGTTGCAAAGCATTTTGACATGATTGTGCCAAAACTAAATCAAGAAGATCGACGAGTAAGCGACTTGATAACTGGATAGGTAGCACAAGTGTAATGAGGCTGGTAATTTTTGAAGAAGATTGAATGCAGTTATACTACTTAAAGCGGTTTAGAATCTTGCATGAAATTAGATTTCATCATGTCCTAGCTGACATGCGCTAGAATAATGACATAAGTTCTGTAGGTTAGCGAATGCAATAAAGAAGACTTATAAATATAGTTTGTGTTTTATCACTATCCTAGACATTCTCTTTCATTGGTGGCTGCCAAGCCTACATTTATTCGTAAGGCTTTTAAAAATATTTTCGTGCATACAGTGGACAAGTTATCTGCACAAATATATATTGCGTAAATTATATCACTTCGTCTATTCAATTTGAATTTCTTCAATCTGCATTTCCTTCATCTCTTCATGATCAGCTTGCAGCAATGTCAGATGCACGTCGACGAGCTACTAACCGTCAAGCTGCTGAACGTTGTCGTCGCTCTAAGGTCGCTGTTCGTGACGAACTAGCAGAACGCTTGGCTCAACTCCGCTTACAAAGGCAGGCACTGACAAAGCGTCTAATCAAGGCTCGTCAACGCAGACGCGAAGCCAGGTAATTCCTCTATGCAAAATTAATTTCATGAAGTGTTCGTGGAAACTGAATCTCATCAGTATCTCCTACCAATGGTTTTGTTTTGATAATTAACATATATAGATATGTATTATTATTATTATTATTATTTTTTGTCTCTTGGATTCCTGGGGGAATATAGGCTTTCAGTAGCACGTCGCCATTTCATTCTGTTCTCTGCACTCTTTTGAACCTGGCTCTACGACTGGCCTTAAGCTTTCATTACTTCCTCACACGATCTCCTTCATGTCACCCTGGGACGCCCAACTCGTCATTACC